GGACGTTTGATTATAAGGTAACATTTCAGTGGGATATATGTTCTCATCATCAAAAGTAGAAAGTGCGGAAAAATTCATTTTAAATTTGAAATTCAAATATTAAATGGTTATTACAAACTTTGCCGTCTTTACAAAATTGGATCTAGTGGATAAAGTGCTATAGATAAGGCAATCGACACTTGAATATTTAAGTAATCATGCCATAGAATCAAAGCCAATCAATCATATCAATTCTGAAATCTACTATCAAACGGATAGTGAAATGCATGCTAAAATATTAACCAAACACTTTAAAGAGAATCAAATTCACTACGATGTTAGATAAGTGAAAAATCATGATATCTAAGAGTGTGAGAAGTGGTAGTGGTCCTAGTACCCTATACGAAAGACAGGGATTATGAATGTAAACACACTGAAATTAAATAAGTAGACTACTTACGAGAATTCGCTTCTTCATCTACATCTTCGATAACCTTGGCTTCTTCATCTTCCATGCCCTCGTCATCTTCAGGAGCAACATTGTCAATATCCCCGTCGTCATCGTCATCCATAGGAAGATCGATATTGATAGCTTCGGGGTTGCTATTGGCAGCAGCGGAGCCATTTAAAGCTTTACTGCCGTCACGGCCAGCATTGCTACCTGGTTGATGGACCACACCAGCTGATTTGAAGATAATTAGAGGGTGTTTGCCACCTGCCACTTTTGAAGTCTCTTCTGCAGTTACAGCGGATTCCATTGCTTGCATTGGATCCTTAGCTAAAAAAAATAAAACAATATTATGTTAGAGAAAAAATTTACAATGCCTAATCGAGCTGTTATTCAATTACAGATATCGGTTTGATGGCCTATTCAACGAATTTAAATGGTCAGTAGTTTTGGCTTTCTTCAGTTCTTTCCAACTGAGAGAGAGAGAGGTGAACTAAGTGATAGCTTAATTTTTCATTTATTGATATGGCAATTTGTCTTTAGGAAGTAAGTACAATGTCACCTTTAAAATTAATAAAGCCAATAGCGAACAATTTCCTACAATTTTGTTACTATCCTACATTGAACTAACCGGGGTGTGCGATAGACTTACCTCCACGTAGTGCACCCTGGGCAACGTATACTCATACGGCAAAAAAGTCTATTAACTGGCAGTTGACTTCTGACTACAAACTACCATCACTTTAACTGGCAGTTGACTTCTGACTTCAAACCACCATGACCTCACTAAACTGGCAGTTGACTTCTGACTTCAAATTGCCATCACCCCAAAACCGGCAGTTGACTTCTGACTTCAAACTACCATGACCCCCTGGGTAACGTATACTCATACGGCAAAATCTATTTGTGCGCCCTGGGCAACGTATACTCATATGGCAAAAAAGTCTATTACCTACGCCCTGGGCAACGTATACTCATACGGCAAAAAAGTCTATTAACTGGCAGTTGACTTCTGACTACAAACTACCAAGACCCCACTGCATTTCATATTCGACTAATTCCGCAGTACTCATCTCACCTGTTCTCTACCTTCGTGTCTGTCTGTCCCTTTAACGTCTGTGAATAATTATTCTTTCCCCCTATCTCGACTTTTTGCCACTTTGGTGTTCCCCTTCCTTTCTGTGAAGCCCGAAGTCAACTGAAGGGCTAATGATACCTATCATAACGCCTGCCATTTGAAATAACTACATTGAACTATCCAATTTTGTGGATTAAATTACCAATTATTTGATGAAAAGGGGCAATTATAGGATTTCGCCACAAAAATCCCTAGAATTCATGAAATTCTTAAATATATTCAAGGGGAACCTTCTACTATGGAATGGGAACAAATTTTGTTAACCATTTTCCCACAACCAAACCAAATTAACTCGAATTACCCTAAGACTTAAGGGACAAAGGGTACCAAACGATAATTTCAGGAAAGACGGCCGTATTCTCAGTTTGATAAATGTAAGCTTGGCAGCTCCGCATCTTCTTGGCCGAATCGGATTTTAAAGCAAACAAAACTAACCCGTTTCGTTAGGTTGGAAATATATGTACATTTAGATAACCATTTCACCTTAGAGCTTTCGAACACTATGCTCTGAACAATCCTAAGACAACTTAGGTAGCCTCCTCTAGATTACTGTACACAGTAATGCGTAAAGAAGGAAACGTACCTTGCTCTTGAGTAGCAGCCAAATGACTGGCCATAAAGCTGACTTTTGTGTTGTAAGTAGCCTGAACGCTTCTCTTGATCCGCAGCATCTCTCTCAGCGTATCTTCATTTCCATGAGTCAGCTCAAACTCCTTCCAAGTCTTCCAGAATTCTGGTTCCGTCTGTTAAGGGAAACATAAGACCCGAGACACTGTTAACCCTCAAGGGCATGAAAGAAATTGCAGCCTTCGATATAACAACAAACTACCTA